CCCACTCACAGATCTACTGAATGGGCTGAAGATGGGCCGCTTTGAGGGAGGATTGAGCAGTTTCCAGCAGAGTGTGGCAATGGACAGGATTCAACGTATTATAGGTGTTTTACAGAAGCCACAGATGGGGGAGCGTTATCTAGGAACCCTACTGCAGGTAGAAGGGATGTTGAAGACTTGGTTTCCTCATATAGCTGCCCAGAGGTCATCTCTAAGTGATAGCCAGCACCAGCTGACCAAGCATTTGCCAAAACACCACACTAATCTGGCTGTTTCTTCTGCACCTCCCATGGAAAAGAAGAACCAGACACAACTGAGACATCTAGTTCTGAAGCAGAAGCAGCCTTGGCACCTTACAGAATGGCCAGCCATGGACCTGACCTGGATCCACACAACTCCAATTTGCAACCCCCCTTTCAGTTCCCCAGGTACCATCTCCATGAACCATGGTCCCTTAGGCACTGGAACCAGCATTGGTGTCATCCTTTTCCTCCAGCATGGAGTGCAGCCCCTTGCTCATTCTGCCCCCAACACCCCAGTTCCACCTGCTATAGCATCTCCTGTCACCTCGATGAGTCTAAGAAACTATCTGGAGAAGGACCTCATTGCCATAGTTTGCCCATGATTCTGCCTTTAAACTGGACTTGTCTTCTGTCTTCTCCTGGTCTACCCACCATGTTCAGAGAAGCACCCACCGGACACTTGGAGCAAATAAGAAGCCATCCTCCACTTGTTCTTCATGCCCACCTTTTTAACCCTAACCCAGGACTTTGACCATGTGACTTCTACTTTGTGTAAATACATGTTTATATATTTTACTTTAATGTATTTGTGTTGAAAGAAGATAAAGCCTTTTTGATTAAAGAAATTTTATACCTAAAAAAAAAAAAAAAAGAATACAGGACAGTTTGTCATGTGGTTATCACATGGCATGGCTCAAAATAGATGCTCAGTAGATTTTATTAAGTTGTATATTAACATTCACCTTCTTGATTTTCCTACCTCCATCCATACCTTTGCTCTACCAGAAACTCAAGCTTCCATATCTCAAAAAAGCCTGGAGTTACTAAGTGGTTCCTATAGCTAAAAATAAAAGGCATGTATGTGATACCAAAAACACAAACAGGAAAAAAAAAAAAGCCAAAATAAATCAATTGTACTCCATCAGAATTTTAAATGTTTCTACATGAAAGGACTTTATCAAAAAAATGAAGAAACAACCTACAAGATGGGAGAAAAATCTTTAAGAGTTTAGATAAAAATAATTTATCTAATAATAATTTACTATCTAGAATATAGAAAGAACTTTTACAAATCAACAACAAAAAGACAAGCTATGCAATCGAAAAAATGGATTCAAAGGATTCAATAGACATTCACCATAGAAGATGCAGGAATGATCAATGAGCCCAGGAATATATGGTCAGTTCATCAATAACTAAGGAAATGGAAAGCAGAACCACTAGGGCACAGCAACTCACACCCTAAGTGGCCACCAATAGAAACACTGAAAATTAAGTCTTGGTGACGATTCAGAGAAACTGGAACCCTCGTATGCTGTTGGGGAGTGGTAAAATGGTGCAGCCCTGAGACAAGCAGTTAGGCAGTTCTTCAAGAATTACCATCTGGCTCAGCAATGCCGAAAAGACTTGAAAACTAGGACTCAAACAGGTATTTGTACATTCACGTTTATTGCCGCATCATCCACATCGGGCAAAGGTGAAAACAACCCAAATGTTCAGCATCAGCTGAGGTGATAAGCAAAATTTCATGTGTTCATCTATAAAGAGATATAAAGTCTAGTTTCATGATCAACCTTCAGAATGTCATTCTGGGTAAATAAGTCAGACACCAAAACAAACATTATATGCTCTCACATTAAATACATACAACAGGCAAATATATAATAAATCAAAGTTTATTAAATGGATATAAAAGTAGATAGAATGAGGAAATGGGGAGTTATTACTTAAGAGACATGGAGTTTCTATTAAGGGTGATGAAAATATTGGGAATGGATAATGGTGAGGATAACACTATATGGTGACCACAATTAATGCCTGACTATTGAAGAATACAAGCAAAAATCATTAAAAAATGGCAAATGTTTTATATGTATGATCACAAGAAAAAGTTTCAATGTCTGACACCATCTAATAATGTATGGCACCAAACAAGACAGGAAACAGTTGATGGCATCTCAACGAACATGAAATTGTTCGATGTGAATTTGTGTGTAAGGGAAAAATCAAATTCATCCCAATATCACAACACTGGGCCCACATCAATTCATATATGTCTTCAGGATCCCCATGCAGAGTTTCTATATTAGCTGATAAGTCCTGACTACATGGTGAGTCATTCTATTCTAAACCCCTGTGGTTGTTGCATGCCATCCAGTGGGTTCTGATTAATAGCAACCCTACGTACAACAAAATGAACCCTGCTGGTCCTGCGCCACCCTCACAATAGTTAGGTGTGAGCCTAGTATTGCAGCTATTGTGTCAACCCATCTCATCAAACGTTTTCCTCTTTTTGTGGCTGACTCTATTTTACCAGTCTCGTCATCCACTCTGGCCGCGCTTCCACCAAGACCAGCACCATCTTCCAGATGCGCCGATCCTTCTCTGCTCTTCTTCTCGTTGTGCAGTTTTCACATGCATATGAGGCAACTACAAACTGCTGTCCCTCGGGTCAGGCTCGCCTTAGTCCTCCAAGTGACAGCTTGGTTCTTTAATACTTTAAGTAGACCTTGTAGCACAGGTTTGCTCAGTGTAATATGGCATTTGATAGAATCAAATGCCCTAGACTTCTTTTATTTTACTTTTGAATGATGATCTATGTCATTCGTGTCCCCCCCCCAAAAGAGATCAAAGTTATAGGGTGAATATCTATTTAAGTAATTTCAGAATATTTTGTCATTATTTATGACATGGACCATGCTAGTAGTTCACTGACCTATGGTACTTCGAGATTGCAGTGTTACTAAAATATGGGCTCTATAAATCACAGAAGCCTACCCTTCCTTTCAGGTATAGGCAAATCATTAGAGACTTCAGTGGACAACATTAAGGTCAAAAGTATATGTATATTTAACTTGTGCACTGATTTCATAGCTTGCCTTGCTACTTATTTCCCCCTGAAATATCAATTGGGGGAACGTAGTTAAGTTAAAAAGGCAAGAGACGCACTTTCTAGAGTGACAAGAACAAGTTAACCAGACCAGAATCCCCTTGACCACAAAGGTATAGAACAACTGAAATTCACTTCAGTGACACTAGAGACGGACAGCTGTTTGGTTTTCAGGATTTGGATAAGTTCTCTGGCTATTTTAACCTTCCCAGAGATTTGGTTGTCAGTGACTAATGCTTTAAAAAGCAAAAACCAACTCTATGCTGGGTGGATTTCATAGGTAGCAATTACCCAAAGAAGACATCCAGATATATGGGTGCCATCTTTTCAATTGAAGGCATCTACCTCGTTAACTTGACTGTAAATTCCAGCAATAATAACTGCTCAAAAAGACATAAAGCAGCAAAGAATGAAGATGACAAAATGTTTCCAAGTAACTTAATAGAATCAAATATTTCTTCAACAATAAATGTCAAAGATCAAACAGCTTAAAATGGAGAGAGGAAATCTAGGTATGCTTGTTATGGAGATAAGCAAGATTAGAACTGAAACTGACTTAATAACATCTCTGAAATTGAGTAGTTACTGTTTTATATATAGCATTTTAATTAGTTTCTGTTCATTAGCCTATCCATCCATTATAAAATTCCACAAATGCCCTGAGTACCTAAACCTAAAGGCACTGACATAGAGGTGGCAACTTACAAAAGCATCCCATCTGCTTCCAATAAGAAACTTGATATTCTTTAGGATTTATGGATAGTAGGAGGAGGTTGCCTCAATTGGGGTTTCAGAAATGGCCAGAAAATCCTTGTAGGTAAAACCCATATTTCTTTGTCTGTAGTTCCATACTTGTATCTAAAACCTCAGCAGTAAGAAGGTTACTTTACCCAAAGATATATAAATTACTGGTTTCTGGTGAGCCCAGTGTATATATTTATATACAAATCTTTTTAGGGATGAATGGTAGGGAACCATCTGACTGACATTTGCTTTCATACACATTTACATTCACACTGTAGTTTCAGGGAAAGGTATCCTTGCCCAGCGGGGAAGGAGTGGCTCAAAAGAGTACTAAACGTTGTAGATGCTGGGAAGCG